CCTAATTATGTGAGAACATGTTGAGTAAGTCTTCCTGCTGTTTTTCACCAATAGACTTTTTTTTTGCTTTTGGAGCTCCAAGTCTTCTTTTACTTGGTTCTGTTGCAGCTGAACTCCAATACTCATGTGGTGGAAAAAAGGAGAGAAGGAGGTGGGGAAAAGTGTAACTTGTTTCTCAGACACAAACTTGTGCACTGCTGTCAGTTAGGAAGGATGTGCCAGTGTTTTGCATGAAGACATGTTGTTTAGACACAGAGAGCTCAGAGTTATGTGGGAGTAAACACTTTCAAGGGCATAGACCCAGTGACCCAGGTATCACCATTGCAATTTTCAGGTTTCAGTGTGCATTTCAAGGTCAGTCCTTCCAGAGCTCCAGTGAATTTGTTGAGGTTAAGAATTTCCACTTCTGCAGAGGTCCAGTACCCATAAGTTAAATCTTAGCCTGGAGACTTGGCCTTTGTTGGCCTCTTGCTGTAAGAAATGATTATTTTTCATGTACTGCTGAGGAGGCCTCTGTCTTTCACAACTTGTTTTGCATTGGCTATTAGGCAATTTGCTTTCTTCCTCCATTGCACCCACGACCCTCACTGTGACCATCTAGTTCCATATTCCTTCTCTTTGTTGTTTGTCACATCTCTCATTTACCTGAGCAATTGCACCCAGCAACTTGCTCCTTTGCCCTAGCACTCCACCTTCTTTCAGCAAGGAAAAACTCTTACCTGTTATACTGAGACCTCCGCCAAGTCAGCTCTTCAATAATGTGCTGAGGGACACCTGGCTGCAGTGAGATCTGGCTCAGGCTATGGCAGACGTTTCTGTCTAGGAGTCTCCCGGTACCAAGTGCTGTAGGTTCTCTGGGAAACACATTCTGCTTTTCATGGGAAGTTGGCTGAGAAAGATTCCAGGAGCAACAAATATGAGAGATAAAAGAAGTGGGGCTGGGCAAAGGTGGAAGTTGAACTAAGAAGAAGACAGACACCCACTTTGCTCAGAAGGCTCCTAATGACATCTAATTGCCATTTCTCTTTTTGAGCTTAAATAACTTATTTTGCAACTTTACTTAGGATTCATTTCCATGTGTACTAAATTGCCATTACTTTACATATCTGCCTACTCTATTAGACTGAACACTTCTTGATACCTGGGATTTTTCTTGTTCAACTTATTTTCCAATAGTTCTCAAGGTAATTAACCAAATGAGAATTTATTACTTTTTACATAAGAAGCACTCATTCTATACCTAACATTATGATGATCTTGGGAATAGAAAAATGAATACTATTCCTTAAGGGACTTATACTTTATTATGTGGAGACTGTAAATAAATAAGAGTCAGCTGTATATAGTGCTGTGATAGAAGTGAAAGTATAGGTGACTAGAAGTACCCACGAGTCTGACAGGGCTCTGCCATGTGCTATGCATGGGACTGGGTTGTGGGCCTCTTGTGGGAGGAGGACAGGTGCCTGTGGACCTCACTGACCATGCATGTGTGGGAAGAACCAGGACCCAATGGTGCATACATAAAATGTGACAAGCACCGTACACTTCTCATCAGATAGTTCTGTCCTCCTCCTTTAAGGTGCTGCTGTATTGCTCATCAAAAAATTAGTGGCTGGAAGGAAAATTTGCAATCTATTAGTTACTACAACCAGATCTTTTTACTAAGCCTGTACAAGAGAGAAATTAGAGAAACAGTTGGTTTCTGTCCCTTCTACTTCAGAGTTTAAAGGAGAAAGGACTGAAAAATATTGTCACTGGTTAATGGCAACATAATAATAAAAATTAAATATTGAAAAAATAGGGTCATATAAATGCTCTATTCTAGAACACCTTTATTGGTCTATTATAATGATGTGGGTGGGGTTAGAGTAGGTCAGAATTCACTTGTACAAATAGTTCCAATGTACCAAGAGACACTTGCCTTTTTCTGATTTAGTGACTACTTTAGAGACAAACTTTAATTAGTTTAATTTTTTCGGTAGTGTACAGAGAATGTTTTCCTCATTCAAGGGTTAGACGAACCTCCCTTTCCTCTACCCTAATATGCTAAAAATTGTTCCTTTTCTATTCTGTTTTTCCTTTCTATTACAATATTCTTTTATGACCACTTCATTTTAATTGCTTATTTGTAAAAGAAATAATTGTTGAAGATTCCAAGGAAAGAAATCATGACACATTGTAGACACTCAATATATAGTTACAGAATAGTACCTAATACTTTGGTAAAATTGTTATGACCGTGCACCAATTTCAAATTTTTTAATACAATTTCATGACATGTATTCACTGCATCTGTGAACATTTATTTATTAGAGTTTTATTAACTGTACCTGCTCATTATTATACTACTATCACTTTATACACTATATATCTTAGCACATGAAATGTGGATCCTTTTATATTAGAATATTCTATGCATAGAACATATTCAAAAATATTGAGTGAAAAACTTTTTCTGATCTTTAATTTCTAAATTTATTTTCTATTATTTTTTAATATTGCTTTTCATCTTTTCCCTTTATAATTAGGAAATAAATACAGAAAGTTTAATTAGGAAATTATAATTAGGAAACAAATACAGAAAATTTATGCAAAATATTTTTCATAACTATTGCCAATGGTCCTCACAGTTAACTACATCTCCCTGACCCCTCAGTAGTACTTCTGCAAGTGTCCCCCCACTCACATGTGTAGCTGTAGAAAAATACACTGCACTCTTTCTTCCTCACTCCCAGCTGCCTGCCTATAGGAGGTAGGTATTTCTGTGATGTAGATTTGCACTTTTGCTTGTATATTTGACCTTGACCAATGGTGGTGAGATTATGGCATGTGTGTTATTGCTTTTCTTTTAAGACAAAGATGTTAATAGATAAGCTGTTTTTTCTAAACTAAAACTTCAGTATTCAGGTTTAAATGCAGTGGTGGCGCTTTGTGACAAATGAATGGGTTTTAGGTTAGTTTGAGCACTTGGTCTCTAAAAGAGTCTCCATCAGTGGATTAGACTGAAGTAAATCACCCCTAAGTGAAATCTCTTTTTTCTCCAAAAGCATGCATGCTGTCTCGACATCAGAGATCTTCAGGAAGGTGCACATCTCATGATCATCACAATGATGGCCTGAGGTTTCTCTCAGTATAGACCCAGGTCCCTGAGCCTCATGTGAGGGCTTGTAACAGAGGTAGAACCTGAGCCACTGACAGCCTGCTAGGTTTGGATGAGGTCTGAGTTGTCCTTTGGCCCCAGCATGAAGACGTTAAGAGGTTAAGACATGGAGTAACTTTCCGGGGCCTGCTGAGAGGTCCTTGGGTCTCTGGGCACATGTTCTCCGAGGGATCACTGTCACCCCCTAGCCACAGTTCATTCCTGACCTGTGCACTGGCCTCTGCCTCACCATATGACCTTTCTCATACATACTCCAGTTGTGACACCACCTACCATCACAACTGCGAGGAACTGACTGGAATTGGCCCTGTGCTGGTTTGTATTCAGCCTCTAAGACTGGGCCACCTCTGGGTATCAGGTGAACTTTTGTTCTTTATGAGGCATCACTCTCATACATTTCACAGCAACAGTGGAGACCTGGCCTTCAGAGTGCACTCTGTTCTGAAATCTCACAGGTGGCTCTCAAGGACAGCATGTCCATTCAGGTGTCCTCTCAAAAGGCAAGGGGTGCTACACAGCTGGGCCCACTGAAGATGGATGCACCCTAAGGAGCCATAAAGGGAACAAAAGGAGCATCCAGGAGATCTGCAGCATGTATTTCATTTTGCAAATATTTCTGTTATTTGTTTTGGGGAAATGCAAACTCAGTTTTCTCCATGAAAATGCCACTTCTTGCTCTTGTCACTCTTTGGAAAAAAGCCCAGTGCTGCCAGCTACTTTTCCTTCTCTGAATATGTAGCTCTGGCATTGACTAAGAGGACTTGTCCTCTCTAGGTCACAGTGCAAAATGCTCTAGACTTCAGAAGGGAGCTACCCCACTAGCTACCAGTCAATGCCTATATTTCCTTCTCATCTCAGTGTTAGCAGGCTATGGGCCATGCTATGAAAGCATATGCTAGGTGTAGAGAATATATTTAACACTCTTGTCCAACTCTTGGTCCATGTAAAGGGTCACAGTTCCTGGCACCGGCCTCAGCATAGTAATAGGTAGTTACACCATGGGCTGAAACACATTATCTTTGCTTTTCTTCCTGTTGAAAGTTTTCGCTGACCACTTCCTATTATTGTCTTCTGGTTCTAAATATTCTCTGTTTCATTATGTTTCTTTATTCTGCATCATTTATGGTGGGATCTGCCCCACAATCCCATTACTTACATGAATATTTTTGACACTTCTAATGTCTAAATGTGCTTTTTAGTACTGCAGAACAATTTGGTGTTATTTTATCCTCTATAATTCCTCACAAGAATTAAGTAGAACGGTTAGAGGTAGCGTTTCATGGATGGATGAACTATATTTTTTCATCACTGTGTGTCCCATGCCAGCACTGTGGCTTGCACATGGTAAGTTCTTACTAAACATGTTTTAAATTGGTTAATGAATAATTAAAACATCTAAAACAATGCATTTTTATCCATATTAGAGAAGACACTAACAGCTTCTGATACTGTAGTGAACTAAGGAATAAGGAAGACATTATTTTAAGTGAGGTATGGAGTGAGGCTAAAACTCACCAAATCAGCAATTGAGGGGTGAAAATAAAAGCAAATCACATAGTTCACAAACAAAGCCAAAAGTACCAAAAGGAGAAATGAAGAATTTTGGATTCCCTGACAATCAAATGTTTTATAGCATTAGTGTTCAAACTCTGATCTACCGAACAAGTTGCCTTCCAGCAACCAGTTTTGCTTTGCATAGGCCTGGTGTGGGCGGAGGGTGGGACACTGGTGTGCACCAGAGTGAAAGCAGAAACTCAGTCACTGCAAGGGGAAGGCAGCACATCTGCCAGCTCCCTGGGGAACGGCTTGTGCACAAGGGAAGCAGCATCGCAGGAGGGTGTCACGGACGTGCTGCAGCCACCAAGACTAAAACATGGCCCCATAGGGGCTTAGCAAACCACTGGTAAGGAGAATTCAATATTCTTCAATATGTGCTTTTTCAGAAGAATGTGGAAAGATTTCCTCATAAGTGAATCTCCCTAAATACTCAATTATCACTGGGAATGTATTGGTTTCTTGTGGCTGCTGTAACAAACTACAAGTTAACAGCTTAAAACAATGCAAATTTATCATCTTACAATCCTGGAAATCAGAAGTCCAAAATCAGTCTTTCAGGGCTCAATTCAAGGCATCAAGAGGACAAGTTTCTGCAGCAGAATCCATTTCCCTGTCTTCCTCTGCTTCCAAAGACTGCCTGTGCGCAGTGGTTTGCTCTCCCCCTCCACAGCCACACACATTCCTTGGGGTCTCTCACTCTGCTTTCCTGTTTCTACTTTCTCAGTAGCCTTGTGATGGATCACACTGGACCCCTGGATAATCCAGGCTAATCTGCCTGCATCAACCATTAATTCTCCGTTAGGGTAATACACACACAGGCTCAGTGGGTGTGGACATATCTGGGGGAGAAGACTTACATAGTTAGGTTTGTACTACACAATTCAGTTAAATGTATGGAAAGAGAAGAAAGTGAAGGAAGCTTCAATTTAGGGACAAAAAGTGTCTCATTGCTGGGAATTTTCTTCAGACCTTCCTGGTATCTGGTCAAGTTTTGAGTTAGCAAATAAGAACTGTAGCAACACCCTACTGGAATAATGGGGTTTACTGTCTAAAATTCTAGCCATGTTCATCAAGAAGAAATTCTCGAGCTATAAATGATCATGGAGGTGCAAATTAGTTCGTTTAAAGCTTTTGTGAATAAGAAGGAAAAGAGGGGTTGAAGAGAGGGTAGGAGGATGGGGAAAAAAAAGAATCAAGTTATATCATGTACAGGTACAAATTCCTTATGACAAATGTGATTATTATATATACCTAAAATGTACTGATAAAAATCATTTTCTTTAAAAGAAAAACAGATTGTTGCTTTAGGAAAGAATTGGTTTCACTTTAAATGCATCCTAAATCTGAAAACACAATAAAGCCAATAGTTTGAGCTAAAGTATCCAGTCTGCAAAGGGCACAGGACTGGCACGGCGGCTGCAACTTTAGCTGTCCAATCATGGGAACACAGTCAGCAGGAGGCTCTCAGCATCTCTGCAGATGAAGACAACAGGACTGAGGCCATCGATACACAGCCAGATGAAGGACACCAGGGAAGAAGTCAATGGACCCCAGAGTTTGATATATTAAGAAACAAGAAACCAACTGTGGCTGGTATTTTTTGTCCTTCTGTGGCAGAGGTAAAATCAGCAGCTTGCAATCACACACTGCTGGTGGCATTCCAACTGGAAAAGCCTCTCGCTGTGAGAATTACTAAGTGCCTCTTCCCTGAGAATAAGTGTGAACCAGGAGATAGCCCTGCATTTCCGACAGTGTCATCTCCAAAGAAGAAATAAAGTCAACCTTAATTCAAGATGTGTTTGACACTGAGGAAGAAAATGAGTAGCACCTTTCCTAAAATACATTTTCATAAATGCATGGACAAAATTAGGATATGTCTAAGACTTTGGTTACCTTATCTGTGTGTGTCTCACTGTCTACATCTTCAACCTGAGTGCCATAATTATGATGAATTAGGAGTGCAGTTACTGAGTGTTGTGAAGGATGTCAGTGTTTAGTTCTCTAGGATTACAACCCTATGGGAATTTGCATGGACGTGCAAAGCAGTCCTTCAACACAGTAGTCTTCCTCATCTGTGTTTCCCTTTCTCCTATTTTAGTTACTCGTGGTCAACCACAGCCCAAAAATACCAAATGGCAAATTCCAGGTATGGTGCAGGGGTGAAAGAGAGAGGGAGATCACATTCATCTAATTTTCTTATAATCTGTTATAATTGCTCTGTATTAGTAGTAGTTATAGTAGGTAAACTCCCACCAGGCCCAATTTATTAATTATAGCTTGTCATAGGTACATGCACAGGAAATGTGATGTCTACCTAGGGTTTGGCACTGTCCAACACTTCCCCTGGGGCCTTGAGCCAAGCCTCTGTGGAGAAGGGGGGACTGTTGTACACACTTTGCATGCAGCCTTCCTATGGTCTTTAGCAATGACCGTGTGATCTGAAAACAGGGTTATATTTAGGAGGGTAAGCTTTGAAGTTAGCTCTAGAGTGAATTCCAGCTTTCTCACTTAAAGTTTTTAAAACCTGATTCCTCCTGCGTAAAGTACCATTACAGGCACATTGGTTTTGGAGAACCAAATGGTAGAACATTGTGAAAGTCTTACATAGACTATTTTTCTAAAAGGAAGTAGCTGTTAACAGTAATAATGATAAAACAAAGGAATAAGTCACTTAGAGGGCTACCTGAAACTCTACAACTTTGGGACAAACATCGTGTTTTCATTTAGTATCCCCAACAATAATAAAGCTGCAATAGTTTTTAAACTTTGAGTAGAAGATTTTCTAACACAAATTCTCAGTGAATAAACTAGTTTTTAAAACCCAGCCTGTTATTTCAAACACATTTTTGCTTTCTTTTTTCCTGTACCAGAATCGTACTGATATAGTAAAAATGAGCACTTGAAGATGCACTTAATTTTCCTATGCATTGTAAATCTTATTTTCTGTATATGTTATGGAGGAAGGGGTCATGTTTCCTAGCTAGCGGAGACTTGGATGTGATCACTCCAGTTTCTTCATTCGAATGAGAAACATGAGGCTCAGCCTTGCTGAGAATTGCTCGGTCATTCAGAGCGAGGCAGCAATTGTGGTCTCCTGACCAGGAAGACTGTTCTGCACAAGACAGAGGCAATTTGCCGTCCAAAGACTCTACACATTTCTGTGTGCATGGATGCATGCCTTCGTAGATCACTGAGGAAACAGCTGGAGTTCTTATGTTGCCCAAGTAACTTTGTTGGAATATACGTACACTAGCAAAAGTGCCACTGGACAACACCTCCCCCATGCACTGGTGTAAGAAGACTAATGAACAAAATACATCCCGTTTCCTTTTCTTATCCCTAATCCCTTGCCATCCCTCCCCCAACCCTCCACCTCTTGATCCCTTTCCTGCTGACAGTGCTCCATCTCCTTACTTCCTATTATTTGTTGCTCTTTATTTTTGCTCTGGGTTTCTCATAGAAGAGAAACGATGTGATATTCAGGCTTGTATGTACCAACTCCACACAAGGCATGTAAATATTAGGTACTGTGAACGTGTTAAAAAAAAAAGGAAGAAGACCAAGAGATGGGGGGAGGAGGGGGAGGGAAGGGAAAGGGGGTGCAAAGAGGAATGAAGATGTGTTGTGTACATGCTCCAACCCCACACAAGGAGTGTAAGCATTATGTACTGCACATATTTGCTACTACACTAAAATAATAAGGAAGAAAAATACTTCTTTCCTAAGAGTTGAATTTCTGAAAATATGAATCCAAACTATCTTTACCATATTGAAGTCTCTGTGTTGACAATCATATACAGAAGACAACAAACTTTTCAGTGTGACATTATTTCATAAACCAGATAAAATCTTTTGCTTTATCATTTCAAATACAGAAGATCAAAATAAAATTGTTAAGTAGGGTGCACCAACTGCTGGATGGGAGATACCTATCTATCATACTTTTCAAATTTTGCTGACATTTCACAAGTTTAAAACCTAGCCTGTTATTTCCACACAATTGCCAAAGTTTCTTACATTTTGTTTTGTGTTGGGTTTTTTTGTGTTTTTTTTTTTTTTTCCGGTATTGGGAATCGAACTCACAACCTTGCGCTTGCCAGGCAGGCGCTGCGCCGCTGAGCTAAATCCCCAACCCCGTATTTTGTTATAAAATTCTAATAACAACCACAGTGATGGGGAATAGTTAACACTTACTTTGATAATTGATGCTGGCACTATTCCTATGAAAGACTGTGTAAGAGAAATAGTTGTGCACATGCCTCTAGATTTATCATAAGGAAAATACTATTACCAGCCTTCAACTCAATGTTTAAAAATATCTTCTACTTCAAGAGATAAATTCTTAGTGTGGAGACCCTTGAAAGAAGACTGGCATTTACTTTAAGGCTTTGCTACAGCCACTTTGGACCCTGAAACACACACACACACACACACACACACACACACACACACACACCTCTTATTTGGAAGGGATATTTAGGTCCATGGCTTTTTTTTTTTTTTTTTTAATTTGAGCAGGAGTAGGGAATAAGTTTTCGATGATATTTAAAATCACTTGGGGGCTGGGGATTTAGCTCAGCGGCAAAGCGCCTGCCTGGCAAGTGCAAGGTCGTGAGTTCAGTTCCTGGTACCGGAGAAAAACCAAAAAAAAATAAAATAAAATAAAATAAAATAAAATCACTTGGCATAGAAAGCCTGGGTTTTTAAGCAAGGGATGTTACAAAAATTGTAACTTTACCTACACCTTCTAGCCTGTATCTCCCTTGTCCGCCTAGGGAGTAAATGTCTACTTTTCATCCTAGCAGGGGACAGCCCTGGAGACCACAGGCGACAGGATAGAGTCGGGGGCAAAGAAGAGGAAAACGAGGCGGCAGCTGCAGGCGCTCGGCAGAAAAGGCAGTTTCGCTTCCTGCGGGCTAGGGCTCCGTGGCACTTCCGGACCAAGGTCCCCGCGGTCCCCGAGGTCCCCAGGTCCTGAAGTCCCCAGTCAGCTGTCCCACCTCTTTCACCGCCGTGATGCTGCCCACCGCGCTTGAGCCCGCGTCCCCAGGTGGGTGCCGCGCCGGGGTGCAGGGGGATCCGCTGCCGGGGTGGGTGCCGAGCTCTGCGGCACTCCTTGCAGGTTTCAAGGTCCCCAGTTTTCCCCTGGGATTTGCACAGCGCAACCCAGCTGCCACCTGCATCTGCGACTTCTGGGGCTGGAGCTTCTGGGAACACTGGGACCGATTCCATCCTTTGTTTTCACTTTGCAATGTGCTTTTAAAGCAACACGTCCCTTGAAAACACAGAGGAGCAGGTCACTGGTCACCTGTGGCCTGACTCACCTGGCAGGAAAGGTGTGACTCAATGTGGACTCCCAGGCATGGCAATGGCAGGGCAGGCAGGGCAGGCGGGGCAGAACAGGACAGGGCAGGACAGAGCAGGCAGGGCAGGGCAGGGCAGGGCTGGACGGGACAGGACAGGACAGGACAGGACAGGACAGGCATGACAGGACCGGACAGGGCAGGACACACAGGACAGGACATACAGGACAGGTGAGGCAGCTTCCATGCCAAGGCTGAGCTGTGACCAGGTTAAAAATCACCCTGCCCTGTTGCTGACTAGCTGGACATTTTCAAAGGTGTTTATACTCAGTTCTTTTCAGGGTTTCAAATGCATTTGCGAATTGTATGTGATGATGAAAAGTGTTCAGTTTTGAAATTTAAAAAACAGCATCATTAGGGTGCTAATATGACTGGAGATATTCATGGTGAGAAATGCAAAAAGAAAATACATTCTGAATGAAATTCCCTTAATTTTCTGAACAGAGTTAAATTTCTCATAGCTTACTAGCATCTTTTTAGCTAGAGTGATCTGAGCTTTAGCTGCTTCCCATAGTGTATTTTTTTAGTAAATAAATTGAATGATTGCTTTTCTGTTCCTTGTGACCATGGAAAATGACATAGCAAGAATTAGAGCCACAGTGCTGAGTTAGTCAACATCTCAAACACTGGCTGTGACTTTGAAGCTCTGTGGCTCACCATAGCTACACATAGTACCATCCAGAAATAGCCCAGCCATAGCTTCTAACCCTGAGATGGTCACCGCTGTAACTTCAATTAACAACTTTTTAAGAAGAATGGGTTACAGTCTGTCCTCAACTCCTAGGTTGAGCAGTGTGGCCAAAAAACAGCTTTTATTTCCCCTGACAGTCAAGGGACAGGCAGGCGGAGGCACCTGCTATTGTGACGGTTTGAGCTAACATCTCCTTCGCTCCTCCTCAGGCTGACATTTATCCCTTGGTTCAGCTACTTCCTTATTTTGCCAAGAGTAATTGATACTACTGGTGTAAGGAGCTGTCTTTTGACATCCATCCATGCCCATTTCATTGAGGTACGCAGTCTTCTAGAACTACTTCTTAGTAATCCATACAGGCAGATACATTGAATGGCGAGCTCTTCAGAGCAGCCTCTCTGCTGCAGCTTTTGCTTGAGTGTGGCAGCAAGAGGACAGTTAGTCCAGCTACCTTATGTTAGAGAAAAGACAACTGAGACTCCAGGAGTGACTTCCCTGTGGCCTCAGGACTAGGAAGTACTTGAAGGTAATCCTTCCTTCAGCTCACCCAGCCCCTGTGTCTCTTCCCAGAGTGGTGTAGTTAACTGCAAGCATGGAGTGGGTTCAGTGCTATGAGACAAGTGATTTCTACTACCATGGGCTGGTCCTAGTGACCATGGCCCTCCAACTGGGATCAGAGAGCTCTACTAGCTGTCTAGTGACCACAGCTGTGGAGACAGCCATCAGAGAGCTCTACCAGCTGTCCAGAGCCCAACCAGCACTTCCACGGGAGCTGGGAATTCTAGATACCCAGTGCTGAACAAAGGGAAGACACTGCACAATGGAAATTCTACTTAGAATGTATTTTTTTTTTGGTTTATATTTAACCAGATGCCATTTACCAATGTCCAGAAGAGATTCTCTCTCTCTGCTTCATTTTACTTTTTGTTGTTGCTTTGGTGTTTTGAGACAGGGTCTCACTATGTAGTACAGGCTGTCCTTGAACTTGTTTCTCTATACATCCTGGCCTTAGCCTCCCATGTGCTGGAATTACTGGAGGACACCACTGCATCTGGCTGCTTCATTCTAAAACTAATGATTTTTTAAAATTTTATTTTAACAGCTACCTTCATAGAAATGATTATTAAATTCCAATTATTTCCCATTCCATACTTCTTGTATTTTATTGATATACTTGATGCTTCTGATCAGAGTTAAATAAATGATTCATTTAAAAGCAGAACTAACTTGTACTCTGTTGTACATAACTTTTGCAGAAATGGTTTGTTTAGGTCTCACCCCTCAGCCTCAAAATAGAGCTGAAGCTTTTTGCTCTTACTACACTCAGAGCCAACAATCTAGAATTATCCCACTAAGGAAATGCTCCTCCTGCACTCTGGTGGGTGGCAAAAATTACTCACCTGGCTGGGTGTAGTGACACATACTGTAACCCCAGAACTCTGGGAGGCTGAGGCAGGAGGATCACAAGGTCAAGCCCATCCTGGGCAACTTAACTACTATGTTTCAAAAGAATAAAAAGTACAGAGAATATAGGCAAAGGTCCTGGGTTCAAGCCCCAGTACTGAAAAAACAAACAAACAAACAAAAAAAATACAACTTTCACACCATAGGATGGCATAGAAATGCCATGATGAAGTCACTTCCGAGGTTTTAAAGAAAGGTAGCTCTTCTACAGTATTTTTCACTGTAATCTGAACAATTCCACAGCATTGAATTGCAAAGCACTTTATGCTTACATGTCAACATCCTTGGATGGCACTGGGGTGGCAGAGGGACCTGTGTTGCTGCTTCTGCCTGAGCACATGGTGTGGTGGTCACACCCCCCGTTAGGCTCTGGTCACAAATGGCCAGAGACCCAGGACCTGAATCAAACTTGTCTGCCCCATGTTCTTGCATCAATCACTAAATTTCTCCTTACCTCAGGTGCTCATTAAACAGCAAGATCTGAAGGGCAGCAACATTCATTCAACAGTTATTTTGAGAAATAAAACATAAACTGTAGGTAAAGTTCTTTTCAGGATGCCATAAGAGTCATTGGTTCATACCTGTTAGATCTTTTAATTCGTAGGCCATCATCACATTTACATGTAAAAGATAAGATTCTTATTGAGAAACTGCCTCATATTGGCTTGGGAAACACCGAAGGAAGCAACCAAGCTCCCATACAAAATAAAATAATAATGATTAGGAGATATAGCTTCCTGTGTAAAGGTACTAACATATCCTTGGGGAAATATTGTATCTAACAGTTGTGAGAAGAGAAAAAAAAGGCTCTCCAAGGAGAAGAACTAGGACAGATTATTTGACAGGGTATTAAACTAGAGAAGTTTCAGGAAAGAGTAAAAGAGGAATTCAATAAGACAGAATGAGATCATAATCTGTTTCCCAGATCACAGAATACCAGTTGTAACTTGATTTGCAGAGAATGTAAATATATGTGAAAAGTAAGTATCAAACAAAAACTTGTAGGACACTTCAAATTATAAGATGAAGAATCTATTTTACCAGTGGGGTTTAAAAGAAATCCAATCTAAACTAAAGAGCACCATTCCCACCAATTCTAAACCACACGTTTTAAGAGTTTGAATTGCTATTACTTAATCATCTAAGTTACAGTCGCTTTTCTATGACTTTCCTCAGAGATTATACAGTGTCTTACAGTAATCTTGGAGACAGCTATAAAGTAAGAATAGGAAGGGCAGAATTTTACAGATTTATTCTTTAGAAATGTTATTATTTGGCCTTGTAATTCTTTACTCTTTTAAATATAGAGCATGGTATTTAGGGTTTAGTGCACACATTGAGATAGTCCAAGTAGAGAAAAATATTTGAAATTGTATCCAGTTTTGTCCCCCTTTTTTTTCCCCACTTAGCAATGGCATTTATTACTGAATAGAAATTTCTTTGTTGTTTCCAAGTACTTTGCATGGAAGTAAGCCAAAAAAGGCAGCTTCCCTTTGTGATCCTAACAAGCAATTCCTCAATGCCTTGCCATCTTCCGGAGATTCTTTTGGTATCTATTTCCTTAAAGTAAGTCTTGTTTTATCATACTGGGGCCCCACTTTTCTTTCTGTTCAGCTTTTCTGTCCCCTTTCCATCTCATTTTAATATGTGCTTCACCTTGTAAAGGCCCAGGGAAAGGCCAGGAACAAGTCTCAGCTGGTCTTCCATGCAGCTATGACACCATTTGTCTGCTACAGCTCAAAGACAAAGCCTCATTCTTTGATCAGAACCAGAAATTTCATTCTTTGTTGATTATATCTAACTTTCAAAGGAATAAAATGGTGTGAAGACCACTTGAAACTCTGGCCTTCCTTAGAGCTACCACTTGCTGTGTTTCAACTTCGAAATCATGTGGGACAGACAGGACATTCTGTGACCTTGCGCAATGAGTGTCACTTGGAACAAGGAACCACATTGTTCAGTATAGTCACAGTAAATAATTAATAATTTATTAATAATTTCTCATGATATTTCAACTGTGAAAGCTTTTCAAACTGTTAAAGTTGGGGTTTCTAAGTCACCATGTTTTTATATTAGCAGACAATGAAGATACATAAAAGAGAACAATTCCATAAAATCCCTAGAATGACAACTGTAGAATGTGTTGCTGTCTGAAGAATTCCCAAAGTTTAGTCCTTTTCCATGGGCTGATCTATCAATTTTATTTGAAGTATTTTATTTGAACTTAATAAGTATAGTTTAAAAGCTCAAATGTATTTGAGTGTAATTAACAAATTCTCTTTTTTGTTTTGTTTTGTTTTTTGTTTTTTGAAATAAGGTCTCACTGTGTAGTTCATAGTGAGAACTATGTAGTTCATAGCCAGCCATATACTGGCTTTGAACTCATTATGTAGCCCAGGATAGCCTCAGACTCACTGTGATCCTCCTGCTTCAGCCACCTGAGTACTGAGATTACAGGCATGTGTCACCATGCCCTGCCTTCCTTAATAAATTCTTATACATGTTTGGGAAAAGTTTTTAAGATAGAATTCA